GGCGACTTGTAAGGTGAAGAGTGAGAGGGTGGAGTATAATCCACTTAAGTCTATGGAGGAAACAGACACAGGGGCTCAGCATGTTCCCATAGGAACACTTTGGAGCTTGGTACCTACACCAGGTGTACAGGGAGGAAGAAAACGTGTAAACAACATCAGGCTGAAGTTAAAGTGCCTCTCAGCAGCTCTCTGAGGCTCTTGGCTGCAGTGGAAATAAACAGAGGAAAGAAAATAAAATAAATAAGAGGCACAACTTTTAGCCCCTGTGAGTGTGTGTGTGGAGACTTTCACCCATAACTGCACTGTGTTGTTTAACAATAAATCAAACATATAGAGTTGTGCAGCTACAAACGCAGCATTGCTCCATCCACAGGTCGTCTCCCTCCCAAATGGGTGAGTGTCAAGAAGGACAAAACAAAAAAGAAAAAATCTTAGTCTCAGTGAGCTGTCAGTCACACTGAGGGGAAAGTAAGAAAAACATTTGATTCTGGTGCAGAACCTTAAGAGTCCTTTTCTTATCGTTCCCACTGAGATGAGGCATCCATCTTCGGAATTGAAATGTCTAGTTGGCTGACCCACACCTGGAACCAGGGAGCTGCCCACATGATGTGTATTTATAGACACTTGGGTTTGGGCAGACCCCGTCACAGATGGCGCTGCTGTGCAAGGTTAGGGCTGTAATGATTTCTGTGCAATGGCTGCCAACCTGAAGACATGTTGGACTTCTTAGGACATCGCTTGATGACTTATTTAAAGGGGACATACTTTACTGTTAAAGAGCAAGATTACAGTAATCCTGCCCCCCACTGGCTAGCCCCATCATTACTACCATTCCAACCTGTCATAGGATCTGCTGATCTGCTACCTGTCTCAACCACAGCTAAACAATTCATAACAATCATAAACAACACAAAAGCTAAGCACAACCTATACATAACATAAACACATGAGGCTCTGCAAGTGGTTTGACATCTGTATAAACACAAGTACACAGCCAGTTAAGCTGTGTCTTTCATTTAAGGATACATACATGTATAATAACCAGCTAAAAGCTCATATAAATCAGTTTAAACACACTTAACCCAACAAATACCTAGATACATTGGTAAAGAACGTTTAAAACACAGATTCTGACCCACAGCATGTTCACAAAGAAAAAGAAGAAATTGCACAGATTCCAAAACTCTAAACTCCATCAACTGACCAGGATTTAGTTTAGTTTAGACTAAACGCAAAAGAAAAAAGAGGCTTAACATTTTTAAAACTTTATGACAGGTTCACCATTATTACTTACAATCTGTATCCTTCAGAATCAACTCTGAGCTTCAGATTTGGGCGGAGCATCATTAGCATCTAGAGGTAAAGGCACAGGAACCTAGTATAACGTCTTTAAAAGTAAAGGTAGAAAAAATATTACAGCAAAAACTGTTGTGACCCTTTTTTACTGACTAAAAAGGGTTTAGTAGCTAGTACCTAGTTATTTCTGCCTTTGAAGAGGAGTGTGTACGTCTTTGCATTCATGTAACATTCTCAAACTGTTCGCAGCTTTATTGTGAAAAGACAATTTAAGAGAAAGGGAACATGGTTCTTTTCATTTTCTTTTATCTGAGTCAACATTTTTGTTTCCTACTTATTGTTTCTGTCTGCTCTAATCTAATCCCACATCCCAGCCCCTTCTCTCTCCCCCACTCACTCTCTTCCTCTCGCTCTCTCCTCTCAGCGTCTGTTATCTCCACCATGCAGTTGACTGCTTCTGTCCTCTGGGTGTCAGCACTTGCCTTATCCTTCATTCAGCTGTACATACACAGCTTTGCATCAGACAATCACCTTTATTTCTCTCTGTTTTTCACATTTTAATGATGGTGTTCTTCTTGACATATCCCCGTCCTTTTCTTAACCTCTCCCCTCCCTGTTTTGTCATAGTGTGAGCAGGAAGCAGGCACGATCTAAATGCAGTACTAGGGAGAATCACTTCAGGTGTAGGTAATTCACTTTCAAAGTGCTAAGTCACAAAAGTCACTGGGTTGCATGAACCAAGAACATGGGAGAGAGGAACAAAGAGCAGAACATCAGAAGCATGAACACAGAGCAACAATGACTTGACAAAGACAGAATGAGAGAGAGACATATATACCCAGGGCACCAGGTGACTAATGACAGACACAGGTGAGCGTGATGACACTGATTAAGGTAGCCAGACCTCACACTTTCCTTTTCACACTTAGACATGCACAAAGTATAAGGCACCAATTGAAGGTACACACGCACACACAAAGTCACACAAAGTTAAGCACATGCTCACATACCCAGATAGGGTTACTGGAGAATTATTGACTATCAAGTCTGTTGACTTCCTGAAGGTCACCTTTATCTGTTCTCCTATTTAGAGCTGTGGGTTTAAAGGGGGTTCTCCTATTACAACCTTGGGATATTAAACACACACACACAGTCTCTGCCCCCCCCAACCCCCCCCCACACACACACACACACATATGCATGTAGTCTGATTAATAAGTTCCTAAAGTAATAAAGAAAATCATTCTGATTGTGTCTGTGCAGGAGTGTGTATAAAGGTCACTGTATATTTTGGAAGGTGAAGGAGAGATGATGACTTTAAGGATTACTGAGACTCAGTCTGTATAGGCTGCAGCAGTGCCTGCCACTAAGGGCATTAGGACAAAACCCCCTCTCTGAATTATTGAGGACATAATCAAATGTCCTTGCAGACAACAGTATCTTACAATCCTTGCATGTGTCTCTCCCTCTGCCATTCTGCCCAAGATTGGGCTGGAAAAGGATTGGGAAAGTGACTTTTATAGTCTTTAAATCTCTTTTCATATTCCCCTCATAGGTGGATGAATCTTTACGGTACGAGGACCTTCACTATTTTCTCTGCCTTTTCTTTGCACAGTTTTCATTTGACTCGAGCTTTTGTTCTCCTCTCCAAATTGCAGTTCATCTCACTCTGTAGTCATATTGTTCAATGTAACTCCCAAAAGTGATTCAGAAGAGTGTCTGAAGGTCATTTGCGGCTGAGACGGGGTCACTTTAGAACCTAAAGTGGAGAATTTGCAAGAAGAGGGTAGATTTGGTCCATATTGAAATGTTCTGTTTAAATGCCTGGTTCAAGGACAAGTATGATTCTGAGGTCTGAGGTTGAGGCTGACAGGGTGATTTCTCAGGAGTGGGTATTTTATTCATGTTGCGTTGGTAAGCATATTACTTAGTCTAAATTAAAGGAAACAAGAAACAAATCATAACAAACTAAACCAATTAAGATGTGTTTTACGGCAGCACAGGTCTGTCCTTCTCTTCTACACTCTCTAAGAAGAACTAAATTGAAATACTGCTACACTCTGGACTGTAATGTTTAATCATACACCGACTGCTACACTTAGAGCCACCATAAAACATTTCACCTACTTGGTAAAAATGATTGTGTCTCATTGTGAAAGTTGGGGATATCATTTCAGCTACATGCTAATGTGTCCTTGGACCGATCTTTTGACAGAAAGTAATGCTTCCTGGTTGTTGAGATGGTATTTTAAGCTTGAGGTTTTTTTTCGCAAGTGTGCTCAAATAACATTTGTATTGACTGTGTATTAGACTGTGCCACTTGGACTGCGTACTGTCCACGTGGCTGGACAGTGGAATTATTAGATGTAATGTTCTCATTCTGCATGTGTTAGAACATGTAAAAAAATGTATTTAATAATAATAATGTGTTTATTTTGACACCTTAATTGCATCCATCTATGCTTCTGGTAACTTGGAACCATGTTTCTAATGTCAGTCTAATTGAGTAGGACATTCTTTCCAGATTTGAATAATAAAATATGTTTAAGTTTTAGCCTAGAATCTTAAGAGAAGCTAGCACTATGAAACATCCTTCACACGTCAAAATTACACCCATTATGAATGTTAATAAACTATCTATCAAACTTGACTTCTGCATGCCTTTCTTTAATCCTTGTCCTCCATTCAGCAATTGTATGTACCTGTCAATCAGTCTCCAACCAAATTCTGAGGAGAACAAACTGGCAGGAGAACAAAGGTGAAATCCTGAGATGATGTGCAGAAGGTCAACTGTGAACACACCACAGGGACCATATGCAGACTGTGGCCTCCTGACGCTAAACTGAACTCCTCTTGACAGTGCCCTCCCTCATCTCAACCCTCACCCCCAGAGGAAATTGATTTGCGAGTAATTAACGACATGTGTGCCTGGATGTTGGCCAACTTCATGTTCTATTCATGCAGATTAATACATATTTGTCGTCGCCTGTGGGGGCTGAAAGGCATCTGTCTGTGCCATTAAACATTCATGAGTGTGCAGGATGCTAGGAGAAAGAGCCATTCAGCGGCTCTTTACCCTCTCCTCTATATCAGCACACATCTTAATGGAGCGCATTAAATCAGAATGGTCAAACAGGGAATTTGGCAGTGACAGTGGCATTCATCACACCTGTTTTAAAGGACAAATCTCTCCCAAAGATCTTCCCCAACTCTTTTTGATACCTCAGCTTGTTGTTCAATGCATGTGATGTATGGCAGTTTACTTTTTGCTGTGAACTCACTTTACCGTGTGAATCAGCAAACAGGGACTCCCCGTGTGTCAGCCTCCGTCGACAATGTGTTTGTTGTGGATGCTTCAAAGGCAAAACATTGAAAAATTTAAATCTGTGACATTCTCATCGTACAGAGCAAACTCGTTAAAATAAAAATATTTTTGTGACCTACCTCTACATCTAGTCCTTGAATCTTCTTCTTCTCTTTTCTTATTAAGTTGATTCTTTCACATCATATTTTGCCCACACTGACATCCACATCCTCTTTTACGCAAACGCCTCCAGTTCATGTCTCCTTTCATAAAGTATACACTGTCATCTGCAATGCACATGATCATCTATGGAGACAAACTACCAATTTTCCAGTGATGTTGTTGATGTAGTTTTACTTTACTCATACAACATTCTTTTGTTTATCATGTATATTAACAGGTGGTTGGAGTGTGTGGGGGCTGTGGGCACAGTGCAGCAGTGAGTGCGGAGGTGGAATTCAAATCCGGAAGAGGAACTGCCAATCACCCCCGGAGGAGTCCTACCTGTGTGAGGGTGTGGTAGAGGAGGGTCGACCCTGCAACTCACAGCCTTGCTCTGCAGCTGGTGAGCTGCTAATTCTGTGTGTGACTGTGTGCATTGCGTGTTACAGTACATCCATTTCTGTCAGAAAGTGCCATTGTGGCTTAATATATTTAAGTTTGTTGTGTGTTTGCCAGTCTGTGCTAATGGCTATGTCTTGTAAAACTGTTCCTTTTCACATCTGACTCATCTGCTTCTGTATCCATCTTCTGTAAGTCAGTGTTCTGACTTAAAAAGTGCATGTTGGAAAAAAGGGACTTCAATTGATGAAAACTTTAGAATGACATGGTCTGTCTTTTGAAAGACCATGCAAACACAGTATGTCAAAATCATTACACCCACAAATAGCTGAAGGGACATAGAAAAATCAACATCTGACGACCGTTGGGTTGAATCTTTTTTTCAGTGGAACGGTTCATCTATCTACATTTATAACACCCAGGTTTCTATGCTCTCGTCTGTTAAAACACAAAAATCAATAGCTAAGCTTTTTTTTGCTCTAGTTGGTAACACACCAAAGATGTTTAAGTTACCACTCAGATACATTCACATCAGTATCAAAATAAAGTCTTTAAACAACAAAACATCATTACACCACACTGACACCAGTTGCACATCAGAAGTCCCAAGTTTGGCTGATGCTGTTTTGGGTGACCAATCACGTCACGGTTGTGTCCAAGATATAATCTATTGAATCAGGAGCTCTGGTTGCTAACCCGACCCCCACTCCCCGCCCCAACCCTCAACCCCTTACCCTCTACCCCTCACCTGTACACTTCCCCGGCCTTTCCCTTCCCCCTTTTAGCAAAAGGCACCAACTCTCCCCCCCCCCCACCCC